CACAGTTATAGCTAGAGAATAACAAACAGAGAGTGTACTTACAGGCGTCTAGTTCTGGCAGCATAGAGTAAATACATGTCAGAAGGCACAACAATGATCACAACTCACCACCTAGGCTGCCTCTCTTATAAATAACAGGTGTAAACACCTCTGTGCTAGTCACCCTGAGAGTCACTGCTCTCAGCTGAGGCAACTGAGGTACACGTATGCAAATTCTCAAGATTGGTGAGGTAGATCACGCAATGGTGTCATATAAATATTAATACACATACACACACACATACACACACGTACACACACACACACACACACACACACACACACACACACACACACACACACACACACACACATACATACACACACACACACACACACACACACATGCACACACACACACACACACACACACGCGCACACACACACACACACACACACACACACACACACACACACACACACACACACACACACACACACACACACACGAACACACAAACACACAAACACACAAACACACAAACACAATACTGTGAAGCAAAATTCAAAATCGAAATTGCAATGTGAAAAAGCTGCAGAATTTGAATAGACTGAGAAGATTATCAAAATAGATGATAGATGTTATTGTGGATGTGTTACGTGGTGATGGGTGAGTGTTACGCGGGGATGGGTGAATGTTGCGTGATGGGTGAGTGTTACGTGGTGATGGGTGTCACGTGATGGTGGGTGAATGTTACGTGGTGATGGGTGCGTGTCACGTGATGGTGTCACGTGATGGGCGAATGTTACGTGATGTGTGAGTGTTACCTGGTGATGGGTGAGGAGTGCTGGTGCTGAAGGTGCTGCTATACCTTACAATTTAATAGATTTTATAATTAAGAACGTCAGCACCACAAGCCTGGCTCCACCACACACACACACACACATAGGATCTTGGAGTGAGCATCACACCCAACACATCCTCTGAGGCACACATCAACCAAATATCTGCTACAGTATATGAGCGCCTCGCAAACCTGAGAATCTAAGTAAAGAGTCATTCACGACACTGTACACCGTGTACATCAGACTCATATTGGAGTATGTAGCACCAGTTTGGAACCCACACCTGTCAAACACGTCAAGAAATTAGAGAAAGTACAAAAGCTTGCAACAAGACTAGTCCTGGAGCTAAGAGTTACAGTATGTCCTACGAGGAGAGGTTAAGGGAACTCATCATGGCGACACCAGAAGACAGAGGGATATGACAACAACGTATAAAATACTGAGAGGGCCAGAATGTTTCAGAGATGGAACACAGCAACAAGCAGACACAACTGGAAGATGAAAACTCAGATGAGTCATAGGGATGCTAGGAAATATTTCTTTAGCCTTAGAGTGAAGTAATGGAGGCAGGATCCATACACAGCTTTAAGAAGAGGTGGGGCCAGGAGCTGTGACTCGACCCCTGCAACCACTTATATGTAAGTGTACATACATACACACACACACACACACACACAGGAAGACAGCAGCGAGTCATGGTACGTGGCGAGGTGTCAGAGTGGGCACCTGTGACCAGCGGGGTCCCGCAGGGGTCAGTCCTAGGACCAGTGCTGTTTCTGGTATTTGTGAACGACATGACGGAAGGAATAGACTCTGAGGTGTCCCTGTTTGCAGATGACGTGAAGTTGATGAGAAGAATTCACTCGATCGAAGACCAGGCAGAACTACAAAGGGATCTGGACAGGCTGCAGACCTGGTCCAGCAATTGGCTCCTGGAGTTCAATCCCACCAAGTGCAAAGTCATGAAGATTGGGGAAGGGCAAAGAAGGCCGCAGACGGAGTACAGTCTAGGGGGTCAGAGACTACAAACCTCACTCAAGGAAAAAGATCTTGGGGTAAGTATAACACCAGGCACATCTCCTGAAGCGCACATCAACCAAATAACTGCTGCAGCATATGGGCGCCTAGCAAACCTCAGAACAGCATTCCGACATCTTAATAAGGAATCATTCAGGACCCTGTATACCGTGTACGTTAGGCCCATATTGGAGTATGCGGCACCAGTTTGGAACCCACACCTAGCCAAGCACGTGAAGAAACTAGAGAAAGTGAAAAGGTTTGCAACAAGACTACCCCAGAGCTAAGAGGTATGTCCTACGAGGAGAGGTTAAGGGAAATCAACCTGACGACACTGGAGGACAGGAGAGATAGGGGGGACATGATAACGACATACAAAATACTGAGAGGAATTGACAAGGTGGACAAAGACAGGATGTTCCAGAGACTGGACACAGTAAACAAGGGGACTAGTTGGAAGCTGAAGACACAGATGAATCACAGGGATGTTAGGAAGTATTTCTCACCCACAGAGTAGTCAGTAAGTGGAATAGTTTGGGAAGCGATGTAGTGGAGACAGGATCCATACATAGCTTTAAGCAGAGGTATGATAAAGTTCACGGCTCAGGGAGAGGGGACCTAGTAGCGATCAGTGAAGAGGCGGGGCCAGGAGCTGGGGACTCGACCCTGCAACCTCAAACTAGGTGAGTACACACACACACACACACAGACGCACACACACACACACAAAACCCCACACCCACACACACACACACACACAAAACACACACAAACACACACACACACACACACACACACACACACGCACACGCGCACCCCCACACACACACACACACACAAAACACACACACACACACACACACACACACACACACACACACACACACAATCGTGGATTAACTAAGGGGAAGTAGGCAGACTGATGGTCAGACTGGAGGTGTGAGGATGGGCAGAGGTGACAAGCAGGGACCCACAAGTGTCGGTGCTCACCTATATATCTCTATTGCCTTCACATGTTAAACTATTGAAAATAAAAGTTGAAGAAAACAAGAACTGACAGATCACAGAGATACTCAAGATTATGGCTGTACGAGTTCAATCTCAGAAAGTGGAAAGTTGAGTATATTAGGCAAAGTGGAAACAGACTAGAGAGCGAGGACAGACTGAGGGAGACAGAAGGTAGAAGCCTCTAGCAAGACAGTCAGCATGGCAGACAGAGACTTGCTGGGTGACACACGACCCTCCCAGCATACAGTCATTCTCGTCAGTCATTCAGGAGAGTGTATACGACACATGTGACGCCTGTCATACACTATATACGACACATGTGACGCCTGTCATACACTATATACGACACATGTGACGCCTGTCATACACTATATACGACACATGTGACGCATGTCATACACTATATACGACACATGTGACACCTGTCATACACTATATACGACACATGTGACGCCTGTCATACACTATTACGACACATGTGACACCTGTCCATACACTATATACGACACATGTGACGCCTGTCATACATATATACGACACATGTGACGCCTGTCATACACTATATACGACAAAAGTGACGCCGTCATACACTTATACGACACATGTGACGCCGTCATACACATATATACGACACATGTAAACGCCTGTCATACACTATATACGACACATGGACCCTGTCATACACTATATACGACACATGGACGCCTGTCATACACTATATACGACACGTGACGCCTGTCATACACTATATAGGGACACATGTGACACCTGTCTACACTATAACGACACATGGACGCCTGTCATACACTATATACGACACATGTGACGCCTGTCAAACACTATATACGACACATGTGAGGGCCTGTCATACACTATATACGACACATGTGACGCCTGTCATACACTATATACGACACATGTGACGCCTGTCATACACTATATACGACACATGTGACGCCTGTTCATACACTATAAAACGACACATGTGACGCCTGTCTACACTATATACGACACGTAAACGCCTGTCTTTACCTATATACGACACATGTGACACCTGTCATACACTATATACGACACATGTGACGCCTGTCATACACTATATACGACACATGTGACGCCTGTCATACACTATATACGACACATGTGACGCCTGTCATACACTATATACGACACATGTGACGCCTGTCATACACTATATACGACACATGTAAAGCCAGTCATACACTATATACGACACATGTGACACCTGTCAACACTATATACGACACATGTGACGCCTGTCATACACTATATACGACACATGTGACGCCTGTCATACACTATATACGACACATGTGACGCCTGTCATACACTATATACGACACATGTGACGCCTGCCATACACCAAACAACACATGCCAAGACTGTCATACAATATATACTACCACATACATGACACCTGTCATGCAATTTCCAGCCTGGTCCTCACACATGGCAGAGAACATGATGATACGAGAGACAGTTCACAGATGTACAACAAGGCTGGTGTCCCTGAGCAGACACGGCAGCAAAACACCCAGGAACCTAATTACTGTTAGGTAAACAGGAACAAGAGAGGGACCCATCCGTACTACCTGCCCAGGATACCAACCAAGACAGTATTGCTAACTTATGAGAGTGTTATGTACTGACTCAACAAATTTCAGGGAGATTTGTTGAGTCAACTCGGCCCTACCTGGGAATCGAACCCATGTCCTGACCGTTGTGGGAAGGTGTGTGTGTCTGTGAGAGAGAAAGTGACATTTAGGAATCCATGGAGAGTGAGGGAGAGTGTATGAGGAAGAATGTGTGAGGGAGAGTGCGTAAAGTAGTCCGTGAGACGGAGAGCGTGAGGCAGAGTGCGTGAGGCAGAGTGCGTGAGGGAGAGTGTATGAGGGACAGTGTATGAGGTAGTGCGTGAGGGAGAGTGCATGAAGGCGAGTGTACGAAGGTAGAGTACGTGAAGGAGAGTTATGAGATGGAGTGCGTGAGGGAGAGTGTATGAGGTCGAACGTGAGGCAGATTGCGTAAGCAAGAGTTATGAGGTAGAGTGCGTGAGATGGCGTGCGTGAAGGAGATTTATAAGATGGAGTACATGCGGGAGACTGTATGAGGTAGTGGGTGAGGAAGAG